CACACACACACACACACACACACACACACACACACACACACACACACTCCATCTGTGAGAGGACAGGAAGTGAAAATGCACTGTGTTCCACTGACACTCAGTGTACTGATTTAGCAGATAAGTCAATAAAAGATATTACAATAGTTTTGAGACAATGCGTTACAGAAGAGAGTATCATTTAGATACTGGAGTGACACCTTACTTGTAGGAGGGTTTTTTTGTTATTTAAGTAGTTTTTAAAAAGCAGACAGGTCTCCTATAAGCTGTATTAAAAAGCCATGGTCTAATTTTTTGTACAATTTTAGTTTTGCTCCCTTTCAAGTATAATGCATATATCATAATAAAATATCTGAAAATAACATTTGGGAGCTTGCAGTACTAGCCGATTTGTGCTGATGAACAGACATGTTGGCTTCATAGGAGTCAGAGATACCTCTTGTTAATGTAAACCATATTGTGTCAATATGGTTGAGAATCTCTGTCAGAATAGAGATGACAGGAACTTGGCAGGATGTAATATCAACAGTCCTCTACCATATTGACTTAGTAGTTCATCTCATAGCTACTGTAAGATCTGCTTCCATGAAAAGACGAACAACAAAGGACAGGTATTCATTCTCCATTTCCATTTTTTTTATTACTAACAATAGCAGATTATTTCAAGTGAATTTGCTAGTTGAATTTACTAGTTATAGTCTTCTTAGTACAATATAAATATAAGTATGAAACACAAATAAACAACATTAAAATACCATAAGGCTGCAAAGGGAAGCACTCAAAACTTAGGAAACGCCTGTGCAACTTTAATTCAGATGCCTTGTGCATATGCATTATGATGCAGTCTTTAATTACATGAACACATGCTACCTTTTCCACATGACATTTCTTAACTTTTGAGTGCTTACTTTGCAACCTTAATATTCTTTTAATGTAAGCTTTTTGTAGGTAATTTCTGAGGTTTTTAAAAAAGCAAACTGAAAAAACAGATTCCATCATGTGGCATCATACTGACACCAAATGGGTCATGAGCGAAGCTGGAACCTTTAGTTTCATTGTGCAGACCTCTGACACTTGAACTAACGAAGTAACTGATAACAGTCGTAGGTTTTCATCTTCGCTAGACTAGAGGGGGATAAGACATTTTGCCATGGGGTTTCATCTGTCCCAATCCTGTCTCTTCTCCACCACGGGCTCCTTGTACAAGTCCAATTCTTCTTGCCTACCCAATCCCAGTCCCCACTGCTCAGTCTCCTCACCCCAGTCCCAGTCTCCTCACCAGTCCCAGTTCTCCCCCTCCGACTCCTCGTCCCTAATCTCCCTACCCAGCCAGTTCCAGTTCCCCACTTCTGGCTCCTCATATGATCGGTCTCTCCCCTCCCCACCCACTGGCTTCCACTCCTAGTCTCTTTCCCCATGTTCCTCATCCAGTTTCAGTCCCCTCTGCATCCTCACCAAACCTATCTTCCCTCCTCCTCTCTCATGCCTGTTCCACTCCACACTGGTTCCTAGTCCCAGTCTTCTTGTCCAGTAGGTCTCAGACTCCTCTCCTTTCCTGCCTCTCAATCCTAATCTCTTTACCCAACTAGACCTAGCCACTCTACATCCCCCAGTATCCCAGCTCCCTGTCATATCTCAGTGTTCCCTGCCTCCAGCCATCTGACTCCTGGCCCACCCTCCTGTTTCCCTCACCAGCTCCCAGTCCTTTCCTGGCTCCCAATACCAGTCTCCTTGCACAACCAGTCCTAACCTACCCTTCCCCCCTGCTGCAGCGCCCAATCCCTGCCTCTCCTCCCCCTGGCTCTCAGTCTTCTTGCCCAACAAGCCCCAGTTTCCCTACCTCCAGTCCCTGTCTCACCAGACTCCTTTTTGCAATCTACTCCTTTCCATCCCCTCCACATTCTAATCAGATGGCTTCTTCCAAACTGCCTGGGCAATGACAGGAGCGACATTTAAGGTTTGGCAAGGTGATAAGCAACTGAAACATGGTGTTATAATAGCAAGAGTGGGCAACCTTAAAAATAGACAATGCTATCAGCCTCACCTATAATTATAATCTACATATTTATAATTTACATTATTTGCACTACTAAATGTAACCAATTTCTGGAACTACAACACTCATTTACTATTCTTCTAAAAATCCACCCAAATTTGGGCAAGTTATAAGCCTTTGAAAAAAGTTGTGGTTTGCATGCTCAGAGACTGTCAATTTTAGCAAATATTCAGTGTGATGTTAAACTACTTGAAGTTTCTTGCCGGTTGTTTCTTTAGTTTTATATACATTGAGGGGCTGTGTTTGATGGACTCTGAAAATTCAACACAATGCTTTTTTTTTTTTTTTAATTGAAGTGCTTTGGTGGCATTTCAGCACAATAACAAAAGCCCCTGCACCACTCAACATGAATGGAACATTGATCCCAATCTCTACAGCTAACCTCAAAACATTGATTGCAACAGACTTTGTAACATTTGTTCAGCATAGAGACCCAAAAAGGGACAATTTACACACAGGTCTCCCACATCACAGTGGAACTGCACCATTTTCAAGCCACTGGAGCAGGCCCTTAAGAAAGATTAGCGGGACCAATTTCCCAGTACAGCAGAACAGGTCGTTAGAGGTGTTAGTTACTTTGACTGCTTCAACTCACCTCTACTGATGCGCTGTTTCTCTCCTGAAAGAATGCCGGGACTATCAATGATGCTGATGCTCTTCAGAACCTCATTAGGTAACTGAGCACACATGAACCTGCAGGGAAGGAGGAAAGAAGTTATTTACAGCAGCTCTAGTTCTTGGTTAGATTGCCTGTAGAAATCCCCACTCTTGAGTCCATGTACTCTTCACAAAGGTGGACCTTTTTGTAAAGCAGTGAACATTGGGCTCACTATATTGCCTACCACAAATGTTCAATCATGAGATTTTAAAAAATAATTCTTTTGGTGTTCCTTTAATTTGCCTTCGAGTTTCTGAGCCCCTAAGGTACACTTCATTCACATTTTCAGGCTTTTTTCTGCAGCAATTAGAGCCAGAAACTTTCATTTAAAAAAAAAAAAAATCTGAGATTCTCATGTAACCACCTGCCTCCAGTTGCTGAGGCTGTACTAAAAATGCCAAGGATAATGAAACACTTGATAAAATCGTTAGGGATGGCAACAATGGATCACACACTTGCCATGGCAAGAAACCAAATGCCGGGTGCAAAGTTACTGCATATATATAGCTATGGCCTCAGTTCCTTTCCATTTAGTAAAAATCCCAGAAACTCTAAAAATCTGAGGAAGGCAGGTAGAAAGCTATAGAGATATCAGAGCTGTAATAAACTGTCAAATCAAGAGAGTAGTCCTGCTTAAACATACACATAGAACTCCAAAGACCAGCCTTATACACCACTGTGTTAGAAAGTGCTCAGGCAGGGTGCTTCTGACCTGGAAAAATATAGCTTAAGGCCTTTGGGTACTATATCATCTGCAAGTTCATAACAGGCTTGTATATAAAATATGAGACACTTTGACACTTTCCAAGTGCTGATAAATCTAAAGGGAAAAGCTATCCCTGTATGTCATCAATAGCCTAGGAGACCTGCACAAGACTTGCCTTATTTAGGTAGTAGCTCAGGGCCCTATCAACAACTGGACAGTGAAGCCTATCCCCCTCTGGTAAAATGTGTAATATAGGGGAAATACAGTATATATTGTATAAAATACAGACAGGCTAATTATTTCAAATGGAGAAAAAAAATCACCTTCAGAGCTTTATGCAGAAATTTAGCAAGTGAGTAGGAACATCTTATCCTTATGGAACACTGTAAGGAGAGTCAGCCAATAGATCTTGGATCTCACTGACTCTCATGGCTGACATTAATGATATCAGTAACAGGGACTTCAGAGACAGCACAGTGACCATTCTCCCAAAATTCAAATGGTAGTGCCCTCACCTTGGCAAGTAGTGCCTTCATCTTGGCAAGTCCCAAGAAAGTGGTGCTTCAGACAGTAGATGTCTGAAGAAGGAAGATCTTTGAATAGATATATACGCTGATATAGCCAAATAACGAACCTTGTACTTAAAGGCCAAACTGGCCTATGATAGTAAATAGTCCAGCATAGAGGCAGATGATAAAACAATTTTCTTCTGAGCTGTCTAAAGAAAGAATGTTCTGTACTATACTGTGTAGAATTCATGGCTCTCTAACAAAACATACCGCAATCAAAGTCAAAATGTGTTAGTATAGTATGGTCCAAGCAGCCAACTGCAGAAATTTCAAGTCCAGATGGAGAATATGCTCCTGCTTCTAAGACAGAAGATCTGGAAGATCCAGGAGAATTGGAGGCACCCAAGTTAGAAGCTATCAACAAAACTCAAGCCTTGTCTTATTTTCCAGGTGACCTTTAGAAGTAATGATATTGGAGAAAACACACAGAGAAACTCCTTGCTTTTATCCATTAAAAGGCATCGCTCAGGAAACCAAACTCTGTTGTATCTGTCATCCCTTCTGATTCAGAAAGACACAACCACCTTGACTTTCCAATAGCAAATGTTAAGTAAACAACATTATCTCAGTATCTCCTATAATAGAATACGAAGGAGTACTAAATATAGCAAATTCTGCAAACATCAAAGTAACCGTATCTATTTAAGTAAAGGTTTTGCAAGTTCATGTGCTGCTTTTGAAAGGTCAGTGAGACACTGCTATTAAAAAAACTTTGCCCTTCACTTCCCAACAGCAGAGATAATAAAGGAAACAATGCACCAAAAAGCACAAAACTGGCCAGATTCTGAGGAACAACACTACACAGGCAACAACAGTCAAGGAAATACAAAAATGTAAACATACATCAGATGCAAGACTTGACTCCTAAACTAGATGATCAAGATGACAAAAGAAGAGCAATGGCCAATATATACAAGGTGAAAACACCTTCTTTTATTAGAAATATTACAGAGACTGCATTTTTTCTTAATCCACGTACTTTCACACCATCTCACCTTTATGTGGTGGCTGTTTAGTATCAACTAGAAAATTTGGCATCCATCTTATGAGAAAGAAGAACCTTTATTTCAGCAGAACAATGCTACAATGTTCAAATTTCTCCACAAGCCAAATGACATAACAGCAGTGACAGGTTGTACAGGCAAAACAAGATCTATAGTTAGACGTGGAGATAACACTGCAGATCACACAAGAAGCATTAATAGGATACGGAAGAGGACAATCTAGAAAAGGAGTGATAAACAGGAGTACAAATTGAAGTTAGAAATGGCTGGCTGCAGTTTCTAGATTAGCCTATGACCTGAAAGCAAAGTGGAGCCAAGTTACAAAAATATTTCCACAAAAGTTAGGTCAGTCTAATATTTCATATAAAAGTTTCAAACTGTAAATGTAACTATATCAGCATGATCATTTTAAACTGCTTTTTATGACAAGTTTTAAGAAAAAGCTATGCTATGCACCTGAAATGCAATAAATTCTAGTTCTGAGATAAGTCTCAAAGCACATTTGTCTCATATACGCCTTGCTATTGTACTTAACTGTCCAGAAGCAAACAGACATGCACCAAAAAACAGGTTTACAAAGTTGTTGTAAACACAGTGTTGCAGTGCCATAAGTACAACAATGAACGTTTCCGCCTCATTAGCACCATACATAGGGTTTTCATTCCATATTTTCCACATTTGAAATTAAACATACAAGTGCAGAAACACAAGTACAAGCAGTGATAACAGAGTATCACTGCAAGTGTAAAAGTGAGACGTCTTCATCAGAATGGAAACAACAAGAAACCTTGGGTATATTGCAGAAAGAATCTTGTAGATGACAGCACACTTGCTAGCCCTCTCAAAAGATAATAAATCAAGAAGGAGCAAATAAGTGCCAGGCTACAGAGATCAATTTACCAACAAAAACCATCTTCCATTTCGTGTCATTCCTGATTTGAATGTATCTCCTTTGTCTACAAGTAGAGCAGTGGTCCTTAGCAAGAATAGACTAGGTGAAAGCTGAAGCTGATGTACATTGGTCTGGAAATAAGAAGTGAGCCAAATTTATAATTATTTCGGATTGCAACAATTTTAGAAAGTTTGCCTAAAAAGCAGCTGTAGTATCTGAAACTGAAAACTAAGTTTTGCTTTACTGTCAGAAAGCGACATTCAATTTTATTGAATAACCCGTACGTAAAACTATGCTGAGAACATCAAGGCTGCTCAAATAAGCAATCAAAACCTGTTTTTTAAAAAAAAGCAAATTAAGGTTGCACTTACATTCTTAACTCCACCTTCTGGTGTACACTGTATGCATTACCACATGCCCTTTTAATTACATAATCACATGCTATTTCTCAAATGCAAATTAATATCATACAATTTTTTCTGTAACCTTGTAGCAATTTTCATTCTTGAGTACTTCATCAGCACCCAAGGGCATGCTACCTAGGTTTTTTTACAGAACAAAAAAGAGGTATTGTCGCTGAACCTAGGAACCTGTAATTTAGTTTTAGACATGTCAACTACTATCAAGAGCAACAAAAAGTAAGGAGGAATAAAAGTATAATAATAAATAATAATAATAATAATAATTGACCTGTTAGGTTCATTTTGTACAACTCTCGATGGTACTGCTGCATTCTTGTTTGTTTGCTAACTTCTCCATTCTCTCAGTCACTATTTCCTCTCTTACGTTACATTTGACTGATGTGGGCCTTATGGAACATGAGTCTTTAAGAAAGATCTGAATTCTTAAAGGAGGGGTGTGACACTGTATGGAATATGTATCAGAGGGGTAGCCGTGTTAGTCTGAATCTGTAAAAAGCAACAGAGGGTCCTGTGGCACCTTTAAGACTAACAGAAGTATTGGGAGCATAAGCTGTCGTGGGTAAGAACCTCACTTCTTCAGATGCAAGTAATGGAAATCTCCAGAGGCAGGTATAAATCAGTATGGAGATAACGAGGTTAGTTCAGTCAGGGAGGGTGAGGTGCTCTGCTAGCAGTTGAGGTGTGAACACCAAGGGAGGAGAAACTGTTTCTGTAGTTGGATAGCCATTCACAGTCTTTGTTTAATCCTGATCTGATGGTGTCAAATTTGCAAATGAACTGGAGCTCAGCAGTTTCTCTTTGGAGTCTGGTCCTGAAGTTTTTTTGCTGTAAGATGGCTACCTTTACATCTGCTATTGTGTGTCCAGGGAGGTTGAAGTGTTCTCCTACAGGTATACTGCCATTCCTGATATCTGACTTGTGTCCATTTATCCTCTTGCGTAGTGACTGTCCAGTTTGGCCAATGTACATAGCAGAGGGGCATTGCTGGCACATGATGGCATATATAACATTGGTGGACGTGCAGGTGAATGAGCCGGTGATGTTGTAGCTGATCTGGTTAGGTCTTGTGATGGTGTTGTTGGTGTAGATATGTGGGCAGAGTTGGCATCGAGGTTTGTTGCATGGGTTGGTTCCTGAGTTAGAGTTGTTATGGTGCGGTGCGTGGTTGCTGGTGAGAATATGCTTAAGGTTGGCGGGTTGTCTGTGGGCGAGGACTGGCCTGCCTCCCAAGGTCTGTGAAAGTGAGAGATCATTGTCCAGGATGGGTTGTAGATCACTGATGATGCGTTGGAGAGGTTTAAGCTGAGGACTGTAGGTGATGGCCAGTGGAGTTCTGTTGGTTTCTTTTTTGGGCCTGTCTTGTAGCAGGAGGCTTCTGGGTACACGTCTGGCTCTGTTGATTTGTTTCTTTATTTCCTTGTGTGGGTATCGTAGTTTTGAGA